AAAACAATCGTCCGCCATATTGGTTGCTTATTTGACGTTTGCTCGCTCGTTCGCTTATTATGTCAACGTGGAAGAAAGGCATCTTACCTGGTTATGCAGCCGATTTAAAAGATAATGATTTGATAGAATATAAAGAAAAAATTTCGGTCAATGTGTACCTAGGTAGTCCAAGATGGCGGCGCTTCGGTTAGATTAACTATATTTTTAGTAAACGTTTTTTTTTTTTTTTATTTTGTTCAAGAACTACCGTGAATCAATAACTAGTGATGTTTAGCACAAGGCGGCCTGCCGGCGGCTTTCCTCCGGGAGGAGTCCGTCAGGTCCACGAAAAGTCGGAAGCGCCGCCATCTTGGACTACCTAGGTACACATTAACCAAAATTTCTTTTATTGGATGGGATCCATACGAAATGAAACCAACGAACTTTTCATCTAACGATTTAAGCACGTGGCTCAATATAGAACATGGAGACATAGTAAATTATTTAGTTTTAACAACTAACGCTGTCATACTAGATCAGATGAAGTGAGCATACAAATCACTCGATGCTCATAATTATTTGACAAGCGGATTTATTCATCGAGAAATTTTATTAAGATCCGTTCGTAATGATTTAATTTTGCTTGTAGGAAAGGTACGTATCTTCATTTCAGACTTTCCATTTCTCATAACATAAACTGCGTTATGTAAAGACGAATTTAATTTTATATTTATCCACATTTTAAGTTGATTAAGTTGTATTTATAATTACCATCAAATTTTTTCTTTTGTCCCCATGGTTTTGTGTTGTGCGAGTCTAACAACCTATTATTAAGATTGAATTAATTAGCCTAATAAATCCTCTTATTTATTATTGCCATATTTATCATATCAGGGACTGATTGGAGCAGAATAGACAAAATTTTTACAAAAAAATAGCCTTTAATTAACCACAATCAAATTTTTAGTAGAATGCATTTCAAGCTTCTCATCAGCATATTTCAGGCACAAATACCTACATCAGCCTAATATAGCCATACAGAGATGCTTGAAATGCATTCTACTAAAAATTTGATTTGGCTATAATAAATTGGACGTTTATTAGGCTAATTAGTTTAATCTTAATTTATGTTGTTGGCTAGAAGTGTGATTTAATAATCTATTATTGTTTAAATATATTATTAGAAGTAAATAGCACAGTTTCTTACATTGTTTTTGTACACAGGTTAATTAATCACTCGCAAAATCTACGGCAGCCAGCTTCAGTAGTGTGGGTTTTAACTAAGAAAAATGAAGAGGTGATAACTGGGCATTGCAATTGTGTG